TGCAACTGGAAGTAATTGCATCATGAGCACATGGCAGTCATGGGACTTTAGTTTAGGAATTTCTTCTCTGGCACATTTATTATACCCTTTATATTTGAGGAGAATCCAGATGGTACCTTGATGCTTGCTAGGCATTCAAACATGCTTTCCTTCTCTTCTTTGCTAAGAGTGCAGCCGGCAGGACTTAAGTAATGGCGTCCATCATCTATCTTCTCTGGATGCAGGTTGTCTCGTTCTTTCAAACACCGCAGGTCCTGTCGTGCTTCAAGTGTGTCCTTAGGCTTCCCATATACACCCATGAAGCCTAGCAGGTTCACACAAAGATTATTCGTCAGGTGTATCACGTCGATCGCGCTACGGACCTCTAGGACTTGCCAATAGGGTAGCTCCCAAAATATAGACTTCTTCTTCCACATGGGTGCGTGACCGTTGGCGTCGTTCGGAACATGTTCGCTGCCATGTGCCTTTCCAAATACTACTTTCACATCCTTGACCATATTTAGTACATCCTCACCAGTTCGGTTGCTCGGCTTGGTCTGGTGGTCTGCCTTACCTTTAAAATGCTTGCCTTTCTTTCTTAGGGGGTGATTCACAGGAAGAAATCGATGATGGCCAAGGTACATGACCTTTCGACATTTTTTCAAGAATATACCTTTAATGTCATCGAAAAAGTGTGTGCATGCATTATATCCCTTGTTTGATTGTCTTGAAAGATTACTTAGAGCAGGCCAATCATTGATTGTTACGAACAACAATGCTCATAGGTCAAAGTGCTCCTATTTGTGCTCATCCAACACACATACACCTGGTCTGTTCCACAAAAGTAGAAGTTCTTCAACTAGTGGCCTCAGGTACACATCGATGTCGTTGCCAGGTTCCCTTGGGCCTTAGATGAGCACTAGCATCATAATAAACTTACGCTTCATGCATAACCAGGGAGGAAGGTTGTAGATACATAGAGTAACAGGCCAAGTGCTATGACTACTGCTCTGCTCCTCGAAAGGATTCATACCATCCGTACTTAAAGCAAACCTTAAGTTTCTTGCATCATTTGCAAACTCTAGGAATTCTCTATCGATTGCTCTCCACTGGGACCCATCAGCAGGGTGTCTCAACATATTGTCTACCTTATGGTCTTCTTTGTGCCATCGCAACAACTTTGCATGGTCTTTGTTTCTGAACAGACGTTTCAATCGTGGTATTATAGGAGCATACCATATAATCTTGGCAGGGATTTTCTTCGTGGGACGTTCGCCCTCAACATCACCAGGGTCATCTCGCCTGATCTTATACCGCGATGCATGACATACCGGGCATGCATCTAACTTCTCGTACTCCTCGCCACGGTAGAGGATGCAGTCATTAGGACATGCATGTATCTTCTGGATTTCTAATCCCAAAGGGCAGACTACCTATTTTGCTTCGTACGTAGTGGCGGGCAATTCGTTATCCTTCGGAAGCATCTTCTTTTGGATTTTCAGTAACTCCCCAAATCCCTTGTCAGATACACCATTCTTTGCCTTCCATTGTAGCAATTTTAGTGTGGTACCCAACTTTTTCTGCCCCGCATCACAAGTTGGGTATAGCAATTTCTTGTGATCCTCTAGCATGCGCTCGAACTTGATCTTCTCCTTTTCACTTTTGCATTCTCTTTGTGCGTCACGAATGGCCTGACCAAGATCATCAGCGGGCTCATCTTCTGCCCCTACCTCTTCTTTAGCTTTCCCCATTGCAGTATCATTGAAGGCACCATATTCAGCAATAATGTCATCATCGTCCCATTGTTCTTCTTCACCTTCTTCCATTACAACCCCGGTTTCTCCGTGCTTCGTCCAACAAATATAGTTTGGCATGAAACCCGACTTCAACAAGTGTGAATAAAGACTCCTTGAGCTAGCATATTCCTTCAAATTCTTACATATGGCACATGGGTAGCACATGAAACCATCGCGTTTGTTTGCCTCGGCCACACATAAGAAAGAATGCACGCCCTCAATGAACTCTTGGGAGCGGCGATTAGCATTGTACATCCAATGTCGGCTCATCTGCATTACATGACATACATACCATATTAAAACCTAGAACATAATTAGTTAATTATACGACATGCATGCCACCACACAAGGTATTAATTTATGAAAGTCTCGCTACAATGTAGACAATTTCAACTACCACTAAAAAAACTAAAGCTAAAATGCACTTCAGTAGCATAAGGATTTCGCGACCAATCCCAACTAAAACAGACAGATCATGCGTTTGTTCAACATCTATGGGCTTCTTTCGCAGGATCACTGCCTCATCAGCCGTCGTAGCCGCCTGTGCAAGAGAGTTTTGCATGTGTTCAACATACCCTTCGTCCCAGTACTAGCCTGAACATCCAGTGCCATCCCACTGAAATTAAAACAAAAAAAATAGAACTTTAATCACAATCATCATGAAAATAAGTATAAATTAACCATAATCATCAAATACGACAAAATAACTCACATTGCGATCCGGACACTTGTAGAAGATACGGCCCTTGTTGGGACACTCCTTCCTCACCCGGTACTCCATCACAATCTTCTCCTCACACTTGCCGCATGCAATGAGAGGGAGGTCCGGCCTCAGTCGCTTTGGAACCCGATGAGAGGCCGAGGATCCAGAAGCAGTTGCCATCTACTCTCTATACTCATTTTTAATATAATATAAATTTCTCATTTTATAAACAAATAAAAAAACTCTAAAATTCTCTATATCTCTAAACCATGAAGTGTGCTATTCATGCTAGAAATGAAAGCTGAATACTAGTTTTGAATAACTACTTTAAACTTCCTTCATCCAAATATGCAAACTTTAAAGTGATTTTGAGCTTAAATAGCTTACAAATAAAAAAATCCACCATAAAAAACCACATATATCTAGTTCACAAAATGAGATATGCTACTGATGAAACATGAGAGTATAAAGTTGGTAACCTTTAGAACCGAAGAATCGATGGAGGAATCGAAGAAATCTTGTGATTACCGGCGATGAGGAAGAAGAGAGGCCGGCGATGAAGCAAGAACACTGAGGTCGAAGTGGCTCGGACTCAGGGAGGAAGAAGGGGTAGGAGGGGACCTTTAGTTCCGGTTAGAGACACCAACCGGGACTAAAGGTTCCTTTCTAGTCTCGGACGGAGCCTCTAGCCAGGAGTAGACTTTTACTCCCGATTGGAGGGATCAACCGGGAGTAAAAGTTAACCTTTAGTCCCGGTTGGTAGCTCCAACCGAGACTAAAGGTCCCTGCAGCAAAAGCCTGCCGCGGTAGCCGTTGGGCAGGGACCTTTAGTCCCGGTTGGAGCTACAAACTAGGACTAAAGGTCTCTCTAGTCCCGGGTAAAAAAAAAAATACCGGGACTAAAGCCAAATTTCGAAGTGGATCAAAAGCCGTTTCTCTACTAGTGCTTAGAGCTTGGACAAAAGAACCAATAAACTTTACGAGAGAGATAAGTGGACCATGTATTATTAGCCGTGCTCTTAAAATATATCTTCCACTGTGGTTTCATCGATGTCGATCATACTATGAGTAAAGGGTTAGTTCAAACCATACCATTACAAACATGATGATTTGAAAGGGAAAAAAACATCATTACAATTCACCTATTTGTATATTAACCGTTACATGCTATGCTTGAACCATGCAACTTTCTACATCTCGGCTATCTTTGTACTCACGTGAAGACGACCATATTGCCCCAAGTGCTCCTTTCTTCTTTCTCTATTTCTTTTTTCTACTCACTCTCAGGACAACTCGCCTAATCTCATCCGACCATCTGCCACATCCCCTTTTGCCTCATGGCGGTCGCCACGCTGAACCCACCCATGGTTGACATAACTCCTGACCTCGTCTGCCTCGCCACTGTTGTCCTCGTCGCCATGGCTAGCCGCAAGGCAAGAAACAGCGACAGGCAGGAGACGGCCCTTGAGATGCATGGACGGTCGCCAGTCTTCTCGTTGGCAACCAAACCCGGGTCCGGGGCCAAAGGGCGGCGGTGTCGCATGCAGTTGAGATGGCGTAAATCCCTCTCCCTCTCTCCCCTCGCTAGCGTTGGAGCTAAGACAAAGGCAGTTGGGTCGGCACACAGCGACCATGTGAGGCGAGGAAGTTGATGAGCGTGGGGACGGAACACGGTGGGCAACACGGTAGTGCTCTTCCAGCACAGTCAAAGAAAAAAATAGAAATGGGAAATGGACAAGCGACATTGCACACAATCTCAATGCTGGCCTCCTAAGTGAATTCTTTGTCTTATGGAGGCATATATACATTACGATCCTTGCGGTGGATTCATTTCGGGAAGACGAGATAACTTGGACACTTGAAAGTTCAAAGTGAATACTACGCAAGCTCTCGGCCTACACCATTCAATTTAGTGACTCGATGTGCACTGACTTAGGACATTGGTCGGAGGTTGTAGGGCTTGAAGCACTTGTACATCTCATTGTGCCCGGAGATCTCAATGAAAACCATCTTTTAGTGCTACTAGGTCGGAAGCATTTGAACGCGATATATAACATCAATTTCACTTGAAATCTAGCATTGAATTCTTTGGTAACTTGAGATGGATCATCACAAAGCAGATCGCCAAGCACAAGACCGCAAAGCCTGTTCCATCTTTCGAGAAACAAAAGCCACTGACCAAATGAAGGTGGTGGCATCCATCTTCGAATCTGAAGCTACGGACCAAATCAAGGCTGGTGGCATAGCATCTTTATTGGTCCCTCTGACGTAAACATAGACCATCCACTGAACATTGACCCCAACGAGGAACACCATATCACTAATCGCGCGGGCATGCTCAAGTTCGCTAGAACAAAAGCTGCTTCCATGGAGTTATCGGTTATGCACCGGTGGATAAGAGTTCCAGCAGAGCAAGTCCAGGGTACTAATGTAGAAAAAGGGAAAGTACAAGATGCGTGATAGGGTTTGAGGCCATAAGTTTTCGAGTTTCACCGACCCGAAGTGCAACACGGTCCTTACGATCACTGAGCCGAGTTGTGATCAAACAGCTCACACCGAATCGGCATCTCCATCTCATAGAACGGATTCTTCAAAACAAAGTCCGTGTACAGCTCATAAATCACTTTCAGCAGCATTTCCATATTTGGAGCTCCAGTTTCACATACAACAAAAAATTTTGTCCCTGAAGCAATCGGAGCATATACTATACGTGAAACAGGCCAATTTGGGTGAGTTACTATTCAATGATTATAGATCACAATCTCAAGCAACCAAAAGATATTAGCATAATTTAACTCTAGAGATAAATCAATCGACCCCAAAGATATATCTCAGCTGCACAATGGTTCAAATGAAATTATCCATGACTCCAACAACAATTGTTTTGCAAATGGACTGTGACAGGTTCCAAAATCTCCATTTTCTACCATAAGCATTCAAGCCTTCACTTCCCCGAAAAATCTCACATGCACAAAATCTTGCCGTTCCTTAGTTAAAAACACTGCTACTTAGCGCCGCCATAATTCTGACTCCAGTGGCAAAGTAATAGTAGATAATGGAAGTATTCCCACACACATGTAATGGTCATCAACACATAACCATATATGATTTGGTGCTATATATGCAATATCAATGGGATCATCCTCTTGACATGTAGAAGGGGCGAAAGTAAAATTGTTCAAGTTTACAACCTACAGTATACTTAAATCAGAGCTTGTAGTAAATGTACCCACACACACCAAGTATGCATTAGCTCAGAACTATAGAATGCAGACCAGATCTATGAACTGTTAAGCAGCTTACATACCTGTGAGGCATTGAAACCAATGGAGATCAAAGTTATGAGCTTGTAAGAGATCAATGCCAGTACAGCCAGGGGTAGGGGAGAGTTGCTGGGAGATAGCATGCATCGAATGCCAGAGACTTAATCTTAGACTGTCATTGGTATCCATCCTCCTTGCTGAACCATAGTCCTGGAAATATGTGCAGGTTCTTTAGATGACATGGTTGACAGCGCGAGGTCTGGAATATCTCTATTAAAAAAAAGAAAGGGGATCCCAGGAACATACCTTGTAGTATATAAGGCCGCCAGATTTGTTAATGATGAAAAGGTTATAGATAGCCGCTAGTGCCATAGTCACCAAAGAAGGCGGAGTATAGATAAAAGTAAATTTCCTGTATCAGCTGCAGAGAAACATCCAGAGCCCTGTAAAATACTTGATAAATGTAACAGTAACAGACAACTAGTAAACATGACTTCTCGTAGGTATTTAAACAGCTCAACTTTTTTGAATCGATATTTTTCTCGATCGGGTCAAGATCTCTCTGATTTGAATTTATGAACACCAAGCACTCAAAATGTTAATTCGTGTACAACCGTGTGTTTTAGCAAAAGCTAACACATGGTTGTTTGCTGGCTGCAAAACACACGAATTGCAACGGAAAAAAAAACGTGTGTTTTAGCATAAGCTAGCACATGGTTGTTGGCTGCCTGCATAACACACGATTTGTAACAAAACAAAAACCGTGTGTTTTAGCAAGCTGGCACACAGTTGTTGGCTGACCATAAAATAATTGATTTTAAATGAAAACCCACAGAGAGCAGATCTGTTGTAATTTCTGTGCAACAAAATAGCAGAAACCAATAACTTAGCCCATGAAATATGCAACAAGTGGTGCAGGGACACAGGTGCCTAGAAATAAGTGGGGACTAGTAGCGGCGTTCGTACTTCTACAGTTCAGCTCATATTTAAATATAACCTGGCACACAACCTCTACACAATTGTAGACAAGGATTCCTTAAGTACTAATGAAAAATTAGTATGGACAGTGATAAGCTAAAAAATAGTACAAATCTTATATATAAAAGTAGATCCAGCTATTGGAGATCACAAATTATAATAAAAAGGAATAACAAAAATGTGGTGTGTGCTGGCACAAATATCTGAAATGGGTCGGCACAAATCACCAGTAACATTTTTTCTATAGAATGACAAGAACAAAAATCATGTGGTTGGCATAAATCAGAATTAACAAAGTTTATGAAGTGTTAGCATAAATCACAAGAGACAATCTTTTTGCTATGAAAAGAAAAGGAGAAAAACTTGGCTTGGTTAAGCACAAATCACAATAAACAAAGAAAAAGTTGTGTTAGCACAAATCATAAAAACTAATTTTTTTCCTATGAAAGGATAAGGACAAAAATTTGGTGTGGGCTTGCACAGATCACAATGAATAGACTACAACTTTTTCTATGAAAACACAAAGACAAATTTATCGGCACAAATCATAAAAAATAATTTTTTCTATGAAAGGATAAGGACAAAAATATGGTGTGTGCTGACACAAATCACAGTAAACATATTACAATTTTTTCTATAGAAAGACAAAGACAAAAATATGGTCTGTGTTGGCACAAATAAAAGTTAACATACTACAATTTTTATCTATAGAAGGTCAAAGACAAATAACTGAAATGTGTTGGCACAAATCACAAACAACATATTACATTTTTTTCTATAGGAAGACAAGGACAAAAATATGCTTCAGAACTAAAATTGCGGTGCTCAATACCTGCAATTTGCATCATCGTTGATTGTAATTAATTAACTATATGTTTTATATGTTTTGTTTTCATGAACAGGAAAGATTAATAGGAACATAGCACCACAACTACTATAGAGAAGAACAAACAAAAAAATTCATTAGTATTACTGTGGATGCATCTTATTTCTGTAGTACTACACCAAGACAACTTGAAAGTAGCTAGAGCATATTTTGCAAGCTGTGAGGTTTTCTTAACTCAAAATTCAATATTCTGTATGTGAGAAAATTCTCGGTTAATAGTTTCCAAATAACAAGAACTACTCTTTTTCGGTCAGTGTCATAAGCCGATGAAGTGGAACATTTCCTTCTTGAGACAGATTAGGTTCGAGTATAAACCATAACAATACGATGACACGACTTTAATTTATAGATATAGAAAAATGGTTAGCAAAATATCTAGCTGATCCTTCGTCACACTGGGGTTGCATCTCAATGTAATAATTGCCCTCAAGTCGCAAGTCGCAAGTCGCAAAGGGACAGACTATGAGCTCAATGAGATGTTTCAGACAAAACGGTTAATATAGATTCTTAATAGGTATGTCAAGAAAGTTAGGTCCATCGACTATGCATCCAAACAGGTCTTAGACCCATACTCACACTCTATGGAAAACCTTTTGGCATTGAATTATATATGAACTACTAAGTTGTAAGCTAATCCAATCCTCTGTTGATTTGCAGGTTGGTATTTCAAAGGATTTGGAAATGAACATTGAAAGTTATCACAAATTTGCTTGAAACAATGCAAATGCCAATTACAGTCATGAGGTAACTAAAATTTTCACATATTGCAAATGCTCAAAACTATAATTGCGGTGCTCGGTAGTTGCAATTTACATTATTGCTGATTGCAATTAATTGACAATGTTTTTTTGTTTGGTTTTCATGAATATAGGAGAGATTAACAGGTACAGAGCACGCACTACAACTACTATGGAGAAGAACAAAGATGGCAAAGGAGCTGGTCTTTTGGTTCTGGGCAGACAGGACTAGGCCAGACCTGGAGGCTAAAGGTTGTGCTTCTACGATGCACTATGATTTGAAATCCGACAACACAAAGATAGCGATCGCTTCATCAGCTACTATTTTCTTGACAGGAAGATGTAATTTAGCTTCCACGAACAAGATCAAAACCATAAGCAGTAACTGCTCAGAATGTTAGGGTCCTGCATTTAAAAGAACATCGATTATCCTGCTCCTGCATTCATTTGATAGGAAAAAGAATGATAAAAAAGACGGACCTTACAAGGTTGCATGCGAAGGATGCTTATAATAGCACTTACAGCCTCAACACCATCATCTTCAACTTTAGCCATGGACATATCAACATGAAACACAACAAATGAGTCAAAATCAACAAAATATTATTTGTCACTTCAAATGAAAAGGCATGAATTCATTTCACAAATTGTCTGAGCAGATTAAGTGTACAAACATAGATGTAGATCCCAGTTTAGTACATTTACAAGGAGTCAAAGGGCATCCAACAAATAAATTAACAACTTCACTGGAAACTCAAAAGGACCTAGAAGGCTAGAAGCTCAATATACTAGTGCATTTAGCAACAAAATATGCATTAACACAAAAACAATTAATAATTACAATTGTTTCCATAGTCAAACAAGGACAAACATTTGATCTGTGTTGACACAAATACAAGCTTTCTCAACATAATTGCACATGAAAAACACCATACTTGCAGTAATTCAAGTGTGCAATTTACTACTTATAAATGTGCAATCAAGAAATGGATACTAACCACTAAGATACAAATCAGGAGCTGCAGTTTCAGACAAAGGATAGCCTTTTGATTTACAGGGAATAGCTTTGGAGACTAAAACATGCAAATCGGGACAAGAAACAGTTTGGACATTCTTCACACCACCTAAGTTTAGGTTGTCATTGGACCGAAAACAAATAGAAAAAATGGAAAAATATAAATACTTTTAATCATAGCAACAATCATTTCAAAAGCAAGGAGACAAATCAAGCAACTTAGATTATTCTATTTCAGATAATCAATGAGTTACATAATGCCAAAAATGATTACCAGATTTACAGATCCTAGAATATTGGGCAAAACTGCATTCACAGATTTTCTATTTGAACACAGCTTTATTTCCTTTTTTTTTGTTATAACTAAACTAAACACAACTTTTTTGTACGGTATATGGTATGCAACACCAACTACAAGTGTACATCTTCCACAGAGGTACATCAGCTACCTGTCACGCAGGGTTATAGATGACCTGCAGCTGTATGCACATTTCTTGCTACCGTTACCTTTTACATGCTGACACCAGAATTCAGAACTCAGTCAACTCACTATCATTACAGAGACAATACCACTGAAAAGGTCATTGCCAATACCACTGCATCTGGAAAAATATCGGAGGGAAGGAGCGGTGCCCCAAACGCAAAGTGAAAAAGGACTGATGTCTCACCTTCAGGGCAACGGAAAAAAATGAAAAAACAAACAAACGCTATCAGACAAAGCAACCAAACTAGCTCTACAGACCCCTACCCCGATCGTTGGTCAAACTGATGGAATACAGACTAGAAAGAACAAAACACCTGCAAGTCCAGTTTTACGATCTTTGGAATTGTATGCTCCTCACCCAAAGAAACTTGACTCCAGTGACACCACTAGCAAATACATATAGAAAACTTTAAAAACTTCAATGAATGTTGTAGCCTTGGCCGACGGCATTAGTAATTGCTGCCAGCTAGCCCAGCCGTAGATTGGGATTCACCTGTTGCTTCTGGCTAACGCAATTCGCTTCACTACTTGCAGCTGGTGGACTTCCGGCTGGAAGAGGGCTACAGCGAGACAATAGTAACCGAACAAAAACACAACCAATCGAGCAAATCGACACCACATCAGGAAAGGGGATCGAATAAATCAAGCAACAGACGAGGAACACAGATCAAGGGGCTAATCTAGTAAGATGACTTTATGGAGTATCTTCATATACATTAGCATTTCTCTATTTGTTCTTTTTTCTAGTGTTTAAAATGACAAGCTACAAAAGCCGGCAAAGTACAATATGAAACATGGCATATCGCCCTAATCTAATCTGCAACTCACCCTGCTGGAAGCTGCAAATCCAGGCAGGGTTCCTGCTATCACTTTGAGCCAGTGATGAGCGAGTGACAGATCCAGATTTGCCTCCCAAGACCTTTCGGATGCCATCCTCCATCCTCGTCGCTTTCCTAGAATAACCGAGCTTCTCAACACAACAAAATGGAACAGATCGGGAGACATTCAGCAAAATGGACGGATCCACCGTCGTTCTGTACACCAGAATCCAAATGGATCATCCCTTCCTAAAAACCGTAACTAACACAAATCACTGAGAATCGCACGAACAAGGAGCCGAAACCGAAACCCCGGGGCACAAATCGCATAGGCGAGGACAGGGCACCAAACCTGAATCCTGGGGGCGCGCGGCGTGCGAAAGCAGATCTCGAGCTCTGAGACTGGTGAACGCAAGCAAGGCTCTGATTCGGCGAGGGGGGAGACGAGGCAGGGCGGGGCGGTCGGGCGGGCAGTGCACTGAAAGATCGCCGCAACGCCACACAGGAAAGCGCCTCCACTCCACTTCCTCTCCTGAACAATGACGGCGACGGCGAGTCGTGAGAGCGGCGGCACGAGGGAGGAGTCTCCGCGACGGAGCTGGAGCGGAGGCTGTACGAGCTCCAGCACCGGCGGGATAGGGAGCGGATCGAGGCGCTGGAGACAATCGCCTCGCTGGGAACGAATGCCTTTCCCCTCTCGCCGGGACGATGCGGGAAATGAGACAGCCAGAAACCGACAGGCGCGACTTCCGATTTCAAGCAGTAACATTTCGAGTGGGCCCTACATGTCAGCGACACAAAGCAACCAGCACAGATCGGACGTTCCATTCTTCATCCTGCGGCCAAAAAAATCCATGCGCCAACAAACCACAAAACACACGTGTTTCCTATAGCCATTGTTCAAATTGCATAATAACTTTTGCTCATACGCAGCAAAATGCATTACTGACCATCCAGTTCACGTCCAATGATTTGATTTGATTTGATTTGGTCATGAACCAGCAAATTAATGCACTTACAAACCAATGTGGCTTCTTTTGTTTATAGAGAGCCTCAATCTGTCTTGTGAATACATTTTATATTATCCTAATAAGAGATAAAAGCACAAGCATATATCATATATCATATGTTCTCCTGTAACATTTGATTCATCTGACAAAGACTGTATCCTCAGCTATAAGGATCTAGGATTATCTCACATGTTTAGGCTCTATATGCAAGCTACGAGGTACGACGGAGAGGTCTGGAGCTAGGTTCATATTTCGTTTTCCAAGAGACCAACACGGGCGAATTCAGCAGAAACATCCAAGTAGCTTGAGGTAGTTTGGGAACTCGGTTTCGCACAGCAAGCAAACAGGGAAGAGAAGGGGGGTGGGAATACCTGCACGCTCTTCGCCGGCGAAGAGATGGGCGAAGCCCTCGGCACCTGGTTTAGGGCGGCGGCGGTGGCGGGAGTAGAACCCGATTTGGGAAGGGGGAGGTCGATCTGGGCTAAGACGCTGTCGGCGGTGCGACGAGCCAGGCGGCGGCGGCGTACGGACGAGAGGGATGCGAGAAGAACGGGAACAAGGCAAATATACGTGTAATTTTACAGTTGACTCCAGCCTTTCGGGTCAGTTGTGCATCAGTCACGTATAGGAAAAAAAATCCCATTGCATGCAAAATCGATCGCAGTCTGATTCCAGGTAGCCATAAAATCGATCACAGGCAGCACATATCTCCCTATAAATGCCCATGGGTTACTATGAAATGCCCGTGTGTTAGTATGGAACAATCCCCTCAAGGAAGTTCGTTTCATAAGAAATCATCAGCAAACGGTCAGCTTATTTTTAGAAACATTCGTTTCTGCAGTTTCCCATTTTTTTAAAAGAAATAAATTTGTACTCACAGTTTTATGTAACAGAATTACTCCTTTGCAGGTGCTTGATGTATCTTGCGTTTTCGTCAGTCGATGTGCTCGCGCGTCCGATCGAAAATTGATGATCCAGATTGTCCATCTTCCTCCTCTAGGCGATACACCGTTCATCTTCCTTCTTTAGGCGACACTGTTCATCTTCCACCTAGTTCCAATGGCTGCGGGCTCTAGGTGGGAGGGCGGCGTTATGTTTCTGGCGGCGGTGGGGGCGGCCGAGTCAGGTCAAGGCGGGGGTGACGATGGCCATGGCGGCGGCAGGAGGGGGGAGGGAAGAAGGAAGCCGCCACGGGCATACTAGGGGTTCGCTGGAGCTCCTCGACCGCGAAGCTCCGATGAAACCCTAGCGCGTCGTGGCGGGGTGGCGGGCGTATGCACGAGGCAGGGTACGTCGCGCGCAACGAGAAGGAAAGTGGAGGAGCATTTGAGAGGAGGAGGCTGCCGCAGTTGAAGATCAAAGATGACTGACACTTAATCAAAGGAAGCCGACTATGGCAAGGAGCTGCCCCACGCCGCCCAGGCTGTCCTTGACGCTAAATGGCCTACTGAAGTGAAAGTGCATTTAGGTCCTCTTGTAGGTTTTGGTAGCTGAATTACAAAACAATTAAAGAACTAATGTGTTTGATGAATTTGATAGGTTTCATTGCAAATGATCATGTCAAACTCATGTCATATCTCACACAAAGAAAAAACAAGAAAACTGATGATGCAAAATTGATAAACTCAATGCATTGAGTTACTTATAAGTCTATTTAAGATCTTCAGCACGTACACCTGGTCTTCCATTTAGCCATCGAGGTGAACTTCCCAAGTCCTTCTATTTGCATCCATTGAGACTAAGTCCTTGTATATACTAGCATGTATTGTTAACCCGACTGACATGCTATCACGCACTCACCACAAATCACAATTACTTCACATAAGGGTACTTTGTTTTTGACTAAAATTTGAAAATATAAACAAGTCTCATTGGAACAAAAACAAAACGAAATTGGGGGCATATATATTTACTGGAGGTCACATGTAGGGCCCAAAATCACAAAAAAAAAGAATTGTTTGAAATTCGGAAGTCTATTTGTATATAATTTATGTACATAACTTGGGAGCATAAGTTTGGTTTATATTAAACGTATGTATGTACATTATGAGTAATATATAGAGCTCTTTCTTTTTTAATTAAAAGAAAAAAAGAGAGAGATAAGAAGCTGTGTGATAAGTTTTGTCTGGCAAAATGTTATATGTAGAAATTATGAGTGTACATTTGTTGCTTTTTTAAAAAACGGAAAGTTGTAGAAACAAATGTTTCTAAAAAGGAAAGTTACTGGGCTAGTCATTTATTTAGAAACAAGCGTTTATAAATGGAAATTTATTATGAGAATTGAACATATTTCGTGCCTAACCAGAAAGGGAGGAGTCAGACTTTGGTCATTTTATTTACGTGCAACGAGAAGAAAAAAATTCTATACGTGACTGGTGCACACTGACGGTACAACACTCCTTTCCTTTCCATACCGTCCACGTACGCATGTTGCGCTGGCCCTTGCATTGGTGGCTAGACCATGCACGTCCGCTAGCTGACCTGGCGAATTGAGGCTGATCTGGCGAATTGGAGTATGCATGCATGCTTTCCGCGATGTGGTTGAAAGATGGCGCAAGTTGCTAGGCTTCCTTCTCGGCGGATCAATCTGCATGCATGCACGGTCGCCGCCTCTTAACTCCTATTTTCCTGCTCGCTCTTAACCAACCATTCACCGCTTTAACAAAACTCGTTCTTCACCGATCCGACCTCATCTGGTTCGAAACAACTTTCTTCTTCTCTCATCAATCAAGAAATCAAGAAAGAAAAATTCTCCATCGTCCGTCGCCGTCTCGAGGAGAATCGGATCGGATCGCCAATTCGCCATGCAAGGGGCCGTGCTGGTGGCCATCGCGGCCGCCATCGGCAACCTGCTGCAGGGGTGGGACAACGCCACCATCGCCGGCGCGGTGATCTACATCAAGCGCGAGTTCCACCTGGAGACGCAGCCGGCCGTCGAGGGCCTGCTGGTCGCCACCTCCCTCATCGGCGCCACCATCATCACCACATTCTCCGGCCCCGTCGCCGACATCGTCGGCCGCCGCCCGATGCTCATCGCGTCCTCGCTGCTCTACTTCGCGGGCGGCCTCATCATGCTGTGGTCCCCGAGCGTGCTGGTGCTCCTCCTGGCGCGCCTCGTGGACGGCTTTGGTGTGGGCCTCGCCGTCACGCTCGTCCCCGTCTACATCTCCGAGACGGCGCCGCCAGAGATCCGGGGCCTCCTCAACACGCTGCCGCAGTTCACGGGCTCCTTCGGCATGTTCTTCTCCTACTGCATGATCTTCTACATGACGCTGGGCGACCACCCCAGCTGGCGCTTCATGCTCGGCGTCCTCTCCGTGCCCTCCCTCGCCTACCTCGCGCTCACCGTGCTCTACCTGCCCGAGTCGCCGCGCTGGCTCGTCAGCAAGGGCCGCATGAGGGAGGCCAGGGCCATCCTCCAGATGCTGCGCGGCAGAGAGGACGTGTCCGGCGAGATGGCGCTCCTCGTCGAGGGCCTCGGCAGCGGCGGCGACACCGTCATCGAGGAGTACGTGCTCGGCCCCGCCACGGGCGCCGCCGCCGCCGCCGGGGACGAGTCGGAGCACGACACCAGGGACCAGGTCACGCTCTACGGCCCCGAGCAGGGCCTCTCGTGGGTGGCGCAGCAGGTGCAGGGCGCGCGCAGCAGCGTGCTCGGCAGCGCCGTCGAGCTCGCGTCGCGCCAGGGGAGCATGTACGAGCAGATGAAGGACCCCGTCGTCACGCTGCTCGCGAGCGTCCACGACAAGATGCCCGAGTCCGGCGTGCCCGGTGCCAGCGCCAGGGGAAGCACGCTCTTCCCCAACCTCGGCAGCATGCTCAGCGTGGCGGAGCGGCCCGGCGACTGGGACGAGGAGAACGTGCCGCCCAACGACGACCTCGACGACGATGACGAGGAGTACCTCTCTGACGACGACGCGGGGGCAGCAGCAGGAGGCGCCCTGCACGCACCGCTGCTGTCCAGGCAGAGCACCGACGTGGACACCACCAGCAGCAAGAAGGACGCCGGCAGCACGAGCCAACCGCCCGGGAGCAGCCCCATGCAGAGGTACAGCAGCATGACGGGCGGTGAGACCGCGAGCACCATGGGCATCGGCGGCGGCTGGCAGCTGGCGTGGAAGTGGACAGAGAACGTCGGGCCCGACGGCGTCAGGCGCGGCGGCGTCAAGAGGATGTACCTGCACGAGGAAGGCGGTGGCGCTGGTGGCGGCGATGGGGACTCATCGGGCCTATCACGAGCAGGGGAGTACGTGCACGCCGCGGCGCTGGTGAGCCGCTCCATGCTCTACACCAAGGACGTGCTCATCGGCCAGAGCCCGACCCCGGCGTTAGACAGCCCGCCCGAGACGGTGGCCAACAGGGCGGCTGCGGCAAGCGGCCCCCGGTGGCGCGAGCTCCTCGAGCCGGGCGTCAGGCGCGCGCTCTTCTGCGGCGTCATGATCCAGATCCTGCAGCAGGTAACCATTGTGTATATATATACGATAGGCCTATGTCAGTCATAAATTTAATCAAACCTATCTTAAAAAATTAGTAATATAAGTTAGTTTAACCAAATCTATCTATATAAAATATGAATATCTAGATACCAATCATTACGTTGATCAATAAATATTTTTTTCATAGCTAGTCAACACATTTTGAATTTGAACGTATAAATGCTGATACTATTTTCCATAGATTTAGTTGAGCTTATAAATATTTGACTTGCATCAAAGATAGAATTATAGTCTTTTTGGGATAGAGGAGGACAGAGGGAGTAATGAGTACAAAAATATTTTGTCACATTGACTTGGACCAAACTAAGAATTATGCTCTTTATAATGCATATGTTTTAAGCACTAGTTATTTCTAGAACGTATTATTAAAATCTTTAAAATTTGCTACCCTTTGCAAGTATATATTTATTAATACAAATCTACACATATAGATTGCATGAGTTATTTATGTTTGTAAATTTTAATGTTTAATCAAATCTTGCCCTAAATGATGTGTTTTTGTTATCCGAGGAATAACTAACTTTGTTTGTTGTGTGCATGCAATGATAGTTCTCTGGCATCAACGGTGTGTTATACTACACGCCCCAGATCCTTGACCAGGCGGGGGTGAGTGTCCTTCTTGCCAGCCTGGGCCTCAGCGCTGACTCCGCGTCCATCCTCATCAGCGGGCTCACCACACTACTGATGCTCCCTAGCATTGGACTCGCCATGCGCCTCATGGACGTGTCTGGTCGCCGGTCCCTGCTGTTGTGGACCATCCCTGTGCTCATTGCGTCGCTCGTGGTGCTCATCGTGGCAAACCTGGTGCCCATGGCGACGACGGTGCACGCGGTGCTCTCCACGGCGAGTGTCATCGTTTACTTCTGTTGTTTTGTCATGGGGTTCGGGCCCATCCCCAACATCTTATGTGCCGAGATCTTCCCCACGCGTGTTAGGGGACTCTGCATCGCCATATGCTCCCTCACCTTCTGGTTGGGCGACATCGCCGTCACCTACTCCCTCCCTGTGATGCTCAAGGCCATCGGCCTCGCGGGTGTCTTTGGCTTCTATGCCTTCGTCTGCTGCTTGGCGTTGATCTTCGTATATCTCAAGGTGCCCGAGACCAAGGGATTCCCTCTCGAGGTTATTATTGAGTTCTTCAACATTGGCGCCAAATCCCAGTCGGAGCAGGAGCCGCAAGCGCAGTGATATATAAATGTTTATCATTCCATTCCTTCCCACACCATCGTATATCATGGGGTAAGATATTTTACCTTTATTAATTCAGATTTGGATTGAGTGAATCAGACCTTACTTAATTTGCATTGGTGAGTAAGAAGACAAGAGATAGTTAGTTGATTAATTTTTTTCTCTTTTGTATAAGGCTACTAGAGGCTTAGTTTGGCTACGAACAACCTTGTATTGACATTGTTCGTTAGCAGATGTTTATCAAAACTTGATTGTTTGTCAAATAATGTAAATGAATCTCACCATGAGCTGAATGTCAAGAGTGTTCTCTTGTTTCGGTGTTTCCTTATGTTAGCATTATGATATCCTATTAAATATGTTTGATTTTTTGTATCGTTTCCGTGTTTTCTCTTTGTCTGGGTATATGCATTGCATACCTTTAACGTAGAAGGAACGCATATCCAAGAGTTAGTGCTCGTTAATTTGGATGGGCTCCGTGTGGCTCTCGCTCCTCCACTATTAATTTGGATGGGCTCCGTGTGGCTCTCGGACGGGCGCTTAAGAGCCTTTGGGCCTGAGCATTGTGAGCCGTCTGTTCGGTGAAGGCGGTGACAATGCGCTCGCCTGAGGGAGTGGACGATGGCAGCAAAGCGTCAAACATTGTGACGGCGATGGCCGGGGGGGTGCGACAAGTGCAGAGGTCGCGTGGTGCGGTTGGGTGACGCGCCTAGGCAGCGTAAGGGTGGTTAGGAGGAACCCGTGGGGTTAATTCCTTGCAAAAAAGAATAGGCACACGGATAATAGACTGATTATGAAGGGTGTCAAGGTTTACATATATAGGCAAGGATAGGATGACCTAGGATTTGGCTTGTGGAAATATAACCAATGAACCGGTGATCCCTTCTATTTATCCTAGCCATGTTAGGAATAATATAAATGCATAGCCCAATAGAGCACCAGCCGGCAGCCCGTCTGATTTCCGGGGGCACGGTCTCTTTTTGCAGTTTTTATTTTGGTTTCTTGGCTTTCAAATTTGTAGAGTCCTAAACGGTTTAGATTGTGATCGCGACATGAGATCGTCTTGGATAGGACTATATAAGCAGCCTATCGGCCACGCCAAAACGCATCCAATAGAGCTAGGGTTTTTGTCTCTTCTCGATGTTGCGCTGCCACCGTAGTTTTTCATCCCAACCACCTACGTGCACCTACGGTTGGGAGAGCAGGTCTCCGAAACCCTCGTCTTTGCGATCCTGCACCAGGTGAGGACGAATAAGGTTTTTAGGAAGTGCTCGCCGCGCGAAGTCAGGCGGCGCTCCTCAACATCTCCATCACCAGCAACGTCGTCTTCCCCTGCAAACGAAAGGTACACGTCACGTGGTCTAATCTATTGTTGTCGTTTGCCGGGTGTGTTGATCATTAAGATCTTTGTTATGTCGCTGCTAATGCTGTCCGATCTAACTAGCATGTTAGGGCTCTGCATGCTAGTTTTCGAGATTGTCATGATTTATATTATGGTATTAATCTAAAACTTGTCTAATTATTCACCACAAACATCACTGTAGCATCCCAAACACATAGAACAGGTGATATAAAGCCTTGTAGAAAACTGCCGTTGTCAGTTGCACCGTTGTAGTCTGAGATGGGGGGCACGGGGGATCATATCGGCCAATTGTCAGTTGCGCCGATCGAAATGGAATGGGATGGGATCAAGTGAAATGGGGCATCGATGCAACGACAGGTAGCGAGGTAGTAGCAGTAGCGTGCAAGACGCAGAAACAAAAACAAAAGGAATTCCATCCTCAGTCACAGGTTTGTTGCTCTGGCTGGGTGGCTGGTTGCTCCAGCTCAGGTGAAGACGCAGACGAGACGACGACGGTGCACGTAGGATTTTTTCCCCTGATTCTTGAGATGCTGCTTTATCTACCTTCAGTCTGTTCGTTTGCTGGTTTCAGCCAGGGCTTATCAGGCATGGTACAGTATTTTCCTCTCACGACAAACCAGTACCAGCCAAGTTTATCAGTCCAGAAACCAACCAGCAAACAGGCTCACGTGAGTTGTGACTTAAGGAGGAAGAAAGGCATGCAATGCAGTCTTAGCTAGCTATAGCGAGTGTCTATGTGGGATAAAGTGACGATTTTCTGCTGCTGGCTGTTGCCGTTGCTATCGCTATCGGTGGAGAGTAAGAATCCAGCAGAAGAAGAAGAAACTAAAGGTGGTTGAATGGATTGCATCGGCGGCGGCCGGAAAGCTGATGTGTACTTGTGGAGCTGGAGCTCCGACACCGATCCTGTTCAGACTGCGCTATTGCTGCAGTCCAAGGTAAGAACATGTCATTGACTGAAGAAAAGTTGGCTTCTCAAATCGCAATCGCAACCAAACATTGGCTTCTTCAGAATTCCATCGTTGGACTCCCTTTACTTTTCCTCTGAAAACTGCAATATAACTATGTATTTGCGTAAATTACAGGATTGATTGAGAACAGCTAGTTTACATACATCCTACGCTTCACCCAACGCTCCAAATATGTCCTCCAAAATCCCACGCCACACCCAAAAAAACAGTTTTTCTCTTTTTTTTGAAAGACGAACGACGGGTCAAGGCAAGAAGGTGTCATATCCAGGAGCCGGACTTGCGGCCATGAGCGCCTGGCTGCACCTCCCGCAGGCGCCGGGCGGCTGCTGCTTGGGCGGCTGGGCGGCCACGATGCCGGCGCGGCAGGAGGGGCAAGTGGCGCGCGTGCGGAGCCAGGCGTCGACGCAGGCCACGTGGAAGGCGTGGCCGCAGCGCGGGAGCACGCGCAGCGCGTCGCCCTCGGCGAACTCGGCCAGGCAGATGGCGCAGTCCGAGGCGGTGGCGGCGGTGAAGGGTACGGTGGGCAGCGCGTCGATGGCCTTCTTCTCGAGCCCCTTGGGAGGCGGCGCCTGCTGTGCCTGCGCGGGGCCGGGGCCGTGTCCGGTGGAGGACGAGGCGCGGCGGCAGGCGCAGCGGGAGACGAGGGCGAGGCCGAGCACGCAGACGAGCGCGCACAGGAACGACGCCAGGATGACCACCATGTCGGAGTCCACCGACACCGCCGGCTGCTGCTGCTGCTGCTGGGGAGGCGGTGGTGGAACAGGCGGCGACGACGAAGCCTGCTGCTCGCTCGGGGTCGCGGCGGTGGCGGTGGAGGCTGCTGCCTGGAGGCGGAGGCTCGCCGGGGCACGCGGCATGGCGCTCGCTCTGCTGGGAACTGGGGTGGATGCTGGTGGTGGTCTCGAAACAGAGTGTGACCGAGCATGGCAGTGGCGACCGGTGATTCGGATTTTTATAGAGAGCTGAACTGAGCTGCGTGGAAGTCCGCGCCGCCGCCGGCACAGGGTGGAGGTGGGGTGGGGCCCGCAGAGCAATGGCGTGGCCGTGGCCGTGGCCCCACAGTGAGCCTACCAACTAGCAGCAGCAAACCGCTGCTACGCTAGCTTTTCCAGGTTAGGCGGATTCGCTTTTTTGCTACAGTATAAACACGGCGTGCAAAAGTTAATTAGCACACTGTTTTTGGTCGCTGTACAAAGTGCAACAACAACTGCTGCTCCTGCTACATTGTTTTGTACACATACGTGTACCGTGTCGGTTCAAAGTGTTTGCATATGGTTCGAGCAAAGCGAATCATGGACTAATTGCTAAGCTGGAGGACAATAAGCTCTAAGATTGTTTGGCAAAATGGAAACACAACTTATAAGTTGGCTTATATATACTGTGAGGCATTTATTTGGATGCATGTGTATCCACCTCAATCCACTCCAATACATATGGATTGAGATAAATACATGCGTATCAAACAAGACATAAGTGAGTGTGTTTGTGGATACAAAAGAGACATTGATATCCTCAATGGTTTGATGATGGACCTGAAGTCCTAAGAATACCTCCAAGGGTATTTCTTAAATTCACTCTCTAGATTCTCATTTAGAGAGCTATTTGAATAGAAACCGTTCTCTATATATCTTTTGACGTTCCAACAACTTATCTATGACATGTGTGCACTTTATTTGGAGAGCTATCTCCACTATCCATCTTTGCACGGCGAGAAACTAAGAACGAAGGAGGACAATGTTTGATATCTTATTGAAGACTTGTTGGAGTGCTTTGTCTTTGCACCAAAAATAATGTTCTCATCAATACTAAAGGATATAAAGAAACTATGGAGTTAGCTCTGATTTATATAAGATACAAAATGACCCAGACTGCTATGTGTTACCATCTGGACCCTGCTCAGTCTCGTCTCTCTTGGAGGATATACCAATCACCAATCAGGCCCATAGTGTTGGGCAACGATAGTTAGGACCGATCGCAATCATATATATTATTTGAGCATCGATTTTGCTCCCGACACACAAGTTTAATTGCTTTTCAGCAGCACTAGAGCTGCTCTAGCCAGAGTGCACACGAGACCGATAGATAGATAGATAGATAGCTGCATCTGCATGCATGCTGGGCTGGCATTATGAGAGCACCATGTACAGTCCGTGACTAATTTGCACCCGTAAACGCGTGCAGACGACCTGCGTGCTTTCTTCTTCGTTGACTGGTCTAAAACACGCACGCACACACTGTGTGTTATTATTAGTTTCACTTTATAATTATTTATTTAGGTCGATCCATCCAACTAAAACTTAGCTAGCTAAAACGTCACATCTACTAAAAGTTTTTTTAGCTAAACTTTAGCTAAGGTGTTTGATCCTTCAGCTAATAGATTTAAATAAACTTTAGCTGAATTTATCTGGGTTGAAACAGCTAAACTTAGCTAACTTTAGCGGGTCTTTAAGCTGAGCTGTTTGGATCATGAGCACCTAAATTTAGCCACCTAAAATTTAGTTGGTGGATTAAACGGGCTCTTTAATTATTTTGGTGTATCCAAAAGGAGGAAACTAATTAACAATCCATGCAAATTCGTCAAAGTAGTGGTAGGCTATCTAACTGGATACGTATATTCCATTCCTGTCAATTCATGCAATGTACCCTTTTATGGTCGTCGATCGTGTTGTGTCTGCTTACTTTGAGGCAAAGTGGCCGTTCGATCACTTCATTGTCACACCTTTCTTCAAACGCACTTTAATTTCTGCAGTCCACAGCTCCCTCACGCGGTCTTTTTACATTTGCCGTGTTCATTTTCGCCCCGCTCATACGTACACACGCATGCTTTTGCTACCCTTTTTTAAAAGTTTTTGATTGACTAACACATTTGCCCACCGCGCTTATCTTTGTCCGTACTTGGACACATGGGATAAGGACTACTGCCTCCTCCGTTTCAAACTAACAGTCTCGGTTCATCGCTGGTTCGTAAAAAAAGTACTGCTGGCTGGTTTACGTGAGAGAAAAATACTGTTCTGACAGAAAATTTACGATCGTTTACGACAAGCCACAGCCAAACGAAGAGGCTGTAAGACGTTTTGGTTTTTTTAGATATATGTTTATTTTGCTACTCACTTCGTTTTGGTTTTTCTATATATATATTGATTTTGCTACTCACTTAGATATACACTATGTTTAGGTATATTATTAAAGCAATGTATCTAATTATGTTAAAAACGTCTTATAATTTAGAACGGAAAGTACATGATTGGACATTTATTGGACCTCAGAACTAAAAATTAAACTGTATTATAATAATAGATTAAATGTAAACAAATTATATATGGGTCTTTGTCACTCCTCTTACTACTACTAAAAATATTTTAGGAGACAAGCCTCCCTCGTTAACAAAGGTGGGCACAAAATAGTATTGCCTTTCAAAATACCCCATGATTATCTGAGACGATTAACTTATTTATGGAGACACCTAACAAAAAATTGCCTTTGAAAATAGATTAAAAGGTGGGCAGCGCAACCGTCCATCTCGGGGCCTGCATAGGAGCAGCAGGGGGTGGATCGACGGTAGCCGCTCCCTCTCCCCCTTCTACTCGTGCATGCTCTTTCTCCTCTCTCACTCTCACAGAACCAGTGGCGGTAGGCGGATCGACAGCGGCGGTGGGCGGATCGATGACTTGTGGCCCATATCGAGGCCCAAGCTCGGTCGACGGGCCTAGTAGTGGGCTCGGCGATGGGCTTTGTTTTTTATTTTTTAAAATCTATTTTCACAGGCAGGCAATTGACCGCCTTCGAAAATACTAATTAATAGTAACGATGGCCCGAAGGCGGACGTCTTGCCCATCTTCGGAAACCAGTTTTGACTGTCTCCGAAAATCTTGTATGTGGTAGTGTCTTTGTCCTCCTTTTCTACTTCTTTATCTATTTATAAATACTTTTTACGAAGCATATACCTAAATAAATCTATAACTAAGTTATACATGATCCAATGGGTATGAAATTTTTACTACAGTTCAAGCATATAATAATTAGCTCACCAAAAAAATTTCACCACAATTGGACCATAAAAAACTGTAGTTATGAATTAATTATAGAAAAGCATAGATACAAAGTTACAACAAAAAATTATACTAAAACATACCATATTATATGTTCACTGTATAGATCTACTCATGTGGAGTCCAATAAAATTAGATTTTTTATTTTATAATTATTCTGTGATTTACTATAATTTTTCAAAGATTCAGCCAAAATAAATAAAAAAGACAAAGACAAAACCGCCTTTGAAAACCGCTTATAACTGGTTAGGGAGGTAAAATGAATGATTTTAAAAGTTCAGGGAGGTGGTTCACCCGGTTTTAGAGTTCAGGGAGGAAAAACATACTTTCGCAAAAGTTAAGGGATGTAATGTGGATTTTTTTCTAAAAATATCTCTACTCCCATAAAACTTTCATCATCTCTCTTCATCAATACCTTGTCATGTCAGTATATTAAATGCCTATGAAACTTTGATGAAACCTCCATTGAGATCGGGCTAAATGTAAGGTTCAGAGAGAACGATGATATGAAACGGTTTGGCGCGAAACAGCTACGCTTCTCCTTGAGCCGTCTGGTTTTGACTAGCAAGCGGGAGTGGCCTTGGCTCCTTGAGAGAGCAGAGACGCTGGTATATCAAATATCATCCGTGCATGCACCTACCGAGCTAGCTTGATCTATCTATATATCCACCAACTGCAACTGGGCTTCCTTTCCATCACGGAATGATTGATAAACCCGGGAAAGATGAAACAAAGTTGAATCTTTCGATATTTGCTTTAGTTTCAGCTTGCCAGAGGCGGTACTACTATCATTTTCTTTGCGAGATATATATATAGGTATAAGATAGCTAACTAAAGGGTGCAGATAGAAGATATATATACACATGGTATTTCATACATGGAAATGAAACAAAAGCGTTTCATGCCTTTATTATTTATAATCATGCATCTAAGAAAGACCATCATGAGATGAGGACCCCAATTAAAGTTTAAAGGGACGCAACTGTACTAACCCAAACCAAGCCAGAGGATGGATACGCCTCATCGTCCTCGTGGATCTATGGGCACTAGCTAGATACCTTTGGACCCGACCGGAGCTGTTGCTGTGTAGTACGGAGTACTACTAGTAGCAGATCAGATAGAGATGTCCCTGCTTATCCTCGACATAGCTTTTGCCAGAAAATTATATATGAAGCTTAAATTTAAACAAAAAAATAGGCCGGGGACCAAGGTCGCTCGTCCATCATTTCAACAGGCATGTTTCCATAATACTACTCTGCTGCTGCATCTGCTTGTGTGCACGTCCCACACTCCCACGGTTTTGCGCGCAGCAGTGTCGCGACCCCCGGTTTTTTTTCCCCGACCCATTAGTCAAGTCTGTCACAAGTTCATTTTCTCTCTCTACCTAGTGGCGGGTCCTGCAAAAAAAAAAAAAAAAAAAAAAAAAGAGGTAGGGCGGACCAATAAACTTTGCCGATATATCGGTCTAACAATGTATTTATGCCATATATATATCGGTATACAACATAACAATTATATTCCAACATATAATTCATCAAACAAATGGTAGAAATAGTTTGAAGATGATTACTCCCTTCGTCCGATAAAGCATGTAAATATAGGGGAGCGTTGGCGCCCGGACGTCCGATGGATACGGATCCATCGGACGGTTCTGTAGACGCACTCCCCCAGCGCGCGCTCTTCCTTCTCAGTTCCGCACCGCACGTTACCAGCACGCCCCCGACGACGCGCGCAAGGAGCGGGCCCGCTGGACCAATGCCGCCGCCCTTAGATTGGGCGCCTGCGCGAACTACCGCTGCTGCATCTTC